CTCTCTCTCTCTCTCTCTCTCTCTTTCTTTCTTTGCCAAACATTTCTTTCTTCCCGTCTAAATACACACATTAGAACCTTACATCCTCCTATCCCCCCCCCTCCGCCCTGCCCCGGCCCACCTCACCCTTTGAGAACAGGTCCCCCTCTATCTTCTCTCACTTATTCCCCTTTCCCCTTCAACTACAATAAAATACAATATGGATATTTCTCAGCTGTCACGACAGATCGCAATACATATAATTTAACTCCTCCCAAAGTTTCAAATAAGTTGTTTTTTTCACCCTGAGAACTGTATTCACTACAGATGAGGTAGTCTTCTATTCAGATTAGCAACGAAAAATCTCACCAGAATATCTAGGTCATGAGATTATAGAGACTGCCAGTGAGGTCAGATCCATGTTCTGCTCCATTTCCCCAAAGATTCTATCCCAGTTTTAACACTTTCCTCCGCGTTTGGCTTCAGATTGAATTTATTTTTAAAAATAAAAGAGTTGGAAGAGAAATCGATTATGATTATTATCTCCCCTTGTTGGCTGGCGAGGGAAAATTGTGCGGGTGATTGGGGCCAGTCACTCTGGACTGCTTCCTAATCGAGTTGCGGCCCTTTGAAAGCTAGGGCGGAAATTGGGGTGAAGCTCTGGCGAGTGCTTGGGCTGTGGGCGTGGTGCGGGGTCCCTGGCCCTCTGAACTTTTTCAGGGTTCTCTCCCGGTTTGATGAACTTCCTCTCTTGAAAGACTCTCCCTTCGTCTCTCTCTCTCTCTCTCTCTCTCTCTCTCTCTCTCTCTCTCTCTCTCTCTCTCTCCTTCTGTCCGTCTGTCTCTGTCTCTCTTTCTCTCTGTCTCTCTGTCTCTCTGTCCTCTGTCTCTGTCTCTCTGTCTCTCTGTCTCTCTCTCTGTCTCTCCCTCCCTCTCCCTCTCCATCTCTCTTCTTGTACCCTCTCTCTATCTCTTCCTCTCCCTTCCCCTCCCCAAGACTCTCCCTATCCTCCTTCTCCGACTTCCCCCCTGAGATGGCCTCCTCCCGTGTGTCTATGTAATGAATCACAATAGAAAAATGAAGGAGGAGAATTTATGGGCCAATGTGACATGGGGTCAAAGGGCGAACATTTCGATTTAGTTCCCTTCCCTCCGACTCCTGGCCGACCCCCCACCGACTCCCTGCCGACTTGCTCCCTGGCCCTGACCCGCTGGCTCGCAGGTTAATCGTACTTTGACGATGCTGTTGCTGATGCTGTTGCTGATGCTGTTGCTGATGTTGTTGCTGTCATTGCTGTTGCTGTTACTGTAGCTGTAGTTGCTGATGTTGCTCTTTCTTCTGTTTTGGCTTTGCCGTCACTGCTGCTGTCGTTGTTGTTGTTGTTGTTGTTGTTGTTGTTGTTGTTGTTG